TCCCCCCCCCGACACAGCCCAGCCCCAGGCCCGACAGCTCCCCCACTGAGCCCAGCCCAGCAGGGAATCCAACCCCAGGCGTCTAAGAAGCAGCCCAGGGCAGGAGCCCCCAGTTGCCGGGCGCCAGGCCATGGAGTGAGGCTGGGACCCCGAGGGGCAGCACTGTACCCAGCCCCCCAGCTAGGGCGCCAGGCTCCGCAGGAAGGGGCTAGGACCAGGGACAGGTTGGGAGGCTGCGGAGAGGCTGTAGGGACCAGCCCTGCCCCGATCCACCCTCAGTGCCCAGCGGCCCTGCTGCCCCCTCCACTCACCTTGTTGATGGCGATGGTGAGCGCCGGCTCCACCAGGGCCTCGGCATCCTGGGGCCGGCGGTAGCAGAGGAGGTTGGAGCCCCGCAGCACGCAGAACAGCCGCGCCCAGCTCTGCTGCTCACCCACCTGCTGCTGCAGCCGACAGGCCAGGCCCAGGTTACTGCCGGGCAGGGGACGCGCCCCCAAGGGGGAAACGGGCTCATTCCCACCCCACGTCCAGCCTCAGTGGGCAGGGCCCAGCCTGACGGCTCCCAGCCTCCCTCACACTGGGCTGGCTCCCCGCACCGTCGCTGCCCACGTGGCCCCGGGTTCCTGGGACGTGGAGACCTTCGCACTAGAGACTGCGCTGAGACCCAGCAAACTCAGGCCCCCAGGGCCGGGAACGAGCTCTGGTCACCTCAGAAACGCCGAGCTTCCAAGGCACCAGCGGATCCCGCGTGAGCCCCAGCCAGGGCCGCTGGGCTGGCTGGAGAGCCGGGAGAAACAGACCGCCAGGCTGGACGTACAGATCCAAGTGATGGGACAATCCACCAGGGCCCTGGGTAACATGAGGCTGGAATGGGGAACTCAGAGGGGAGAGATCCCGTGTCCCATTCTCTGAGCCAGCCCGTCCCAGCCAGGAGCCGGATCAGGCCCGGCGCCCCCCAGTGGAGAGAGGCCCCGTGTCCCATTCCTCACCCCCCAAGCCACCCAGTCCCCACCTGGGAGCCAGATCAGGCCTGACACCCCCAGCGGAGAGAGGCCCCGTGTCCCATACCCTCCCCAGCACAGGCTCTCCAAGCTGGGATGCAAACTTACCTGCAATTTCAAGAAGCCGCACATCATCTGCTGGGCCATGCAGTAGGGCTGGGCAGCCAGGCGACAGCACATGCTGCCATAGAGGGGCAGCCAGAAGGAGCTCTCCTCTGAGGGGGAGAGACGGGGCGTCACCGGGGTTACGCGGGGGTCTGGGGGTGCAGCGGGGGCCAAGCGGCCAGCAGAACTCTCTGCTGGTCTCACCAGCCCTGCCAATCCCATGCCCGGCCTCCCTGCTCCTCCCCCCCCATCCCTGCCCTTACCATTGCTGGTGATGGCCAAGTCGTGGGTGCGGAAGCTGTCCTGAACCTCGGCCAGGGAGAGCACGGTGTGGGCCAGCAGGTGGTACTTGGGGCCCCTGAAAGGGGGGAGAGAGGGTTAGGGTCCAGCGGGCCCTGGGGCGCACGGCAATGCAAGGGCGACGGGTACTCACGCCACGCTGGGGGCCGGCAGCAGGAGGGGGCTGCTCCCCCCATTACTCACGGGGCTCCCCGGGGCCCCGTCCAACGTCGCGCGCAGCCGCTTCCCGGAGGAGCGTCCCAGCGAGCTGCTCAGTTTGCTGGCCAGCTTCTTCGGGGTGCTACCGAGCGCAGAGTCCTCCTCCAGCCCCGCGCTGTACAGCTCCACCTTCAGCTCGAAGTCCGGGCCCGCCTCCGTGCTGCCGGGGAGAGAGCCATCACAGCCCGGCTACCGCGGGGGAGCGCCAGGCCAGTCCACCCCGGCCTCTCCCGGCAGGGGGCGCTGTGGGGAGTGGGGCAGGATCGCTGGTGGGGGGGGCTCCCACTTACTCCAGTCCCACCTCTCCCAGCAGGGGGCACTGTGGGGAGTGGGGCAGGGTCCCTGGCTGTGGGGGGGAGCTCCCAGCTACACCGACCTCTCACAGCAGGGGGTGCTGTAAGATGCAGAGGGAGGGTGCTGGCTGTGGGGGTCTCTGGGAACATGCCCCCTGGGGAGGGGTAGCTGCTGCACAGGGAGGCCCTGGGGCCAGTTACTCACAAGAGGACCCCGTTTTCGAAGCAGATGTCAGTGAGCGTCCGGTCCACCAGCACCATCTCGGTGTCATAGATCTCCACGCCGAGCTGCAGCAGGCAGAACACGGCACAGCGGTGCAGGTCTGGGCAGGAGGGAACACGCCAGCGTCAGAGAGAACCCCACCCCCCTGCCGAGCCCTCCGCCAGGGCCCAGCCCCACCCCTCACACTCACCTCCCTTGTTTTTGAAATACTCCGTGTCCTTCCACATCAAGGGGATCCGGAGATCTGGGGAGGGAGGAGAGATGCCAGACAGCTGGGGGCGGCAACCAATGGGGGGGAAGAGGCACAGAGTGTGCATGGGGTGGGCGCTGGGGGGCACAGGGCAGGTCTGAATCACAATACAGATTCGCTGGGCCTCTGAGTGACCCCCAACCCCCAGGCTGACCTAGGGGGCAGCTCCCCCTGCCCCTCACTCTCAGCAGCTTCCTCCTCTTTCCCTGTCCTCTGCTGCTCTCCAGACCAAAGCTAAATGCCCCCCAGAGATGCTGCCCGCTTGGAAGTCACCTTGCCCGGCTCTCCCAGCTGGGCTGGAACTGACACTGCAACCTGCCGTAGCTGGGTGCCCCTCTCCCAGTCTCCCAGGCAAGCTGGCACCCAAGGTGAGCGAGCACCCTAGAGCAGGGATGAGCAAACTGATGAGGGCAGGCAGAGAGCGGGCGCCGGTCTGCAGAGCTGGGACGC